GGTATTACGTCACGGCACTTGAATCGCTACTTTATATGCAGGTTGTCCGAAAGATGCTCAGACGTTGCAAATCCTGCGAGGCCTGCAGAAAGGGCTTGGAGAAAAAAATGGAACGGGGGCTGTAGTACTTTTGCGTTAATCTCTGCTTCTTCTTCTAAACAATTGTAAATATTTATCAAGTAATCAGTTTTACTATTTATTTGCTAATTTTGTCAGATTTTCTCTTATGACACTCTGAAAATCTCTTGTATTATGTCGCATGAATTAATTCTCTTTTCCGTTGCGTTAAAAGCGGTGAAATTTGTCTTTACAGCCGTTTCCATGGTCTCCTTGCGCTTTCTGCAACCGTCTTCTTTACCGATTTATTTCGAATGAACTGTGAATCGACAGCGAGTAAACGTATTTTGATTCGCTTTGTTACCATCCTATCGGCTATCGTCCTTATATCACGGTATCTTGTTACCTCGATGTATCGCATTTTGTGTATCACCGTTTTTATTGTGAATTTATTTAGAACGAGATGCGTCGGAAGAATGATTGCGATTTTTGTTAGTTGGATACGCGTGCATATTGTCGACTGCGAGTGATATCAGAACGAAGGGGGCAAAGGACTGACAAGAGACGTCTCGATCTCGTATACACGCGCGCGTCGCGACTTGGATCTTTTGCAAACCTTCTTCTCCTACCTCTCCGCCGCAGTCCCATAAATCCCTGTCGCCGTTCTAGCGTCAAACGTTTGAGTAAATCTGTTAAATTCCTGGTATTCGCGCGTCACTAGGCGCAATCTTCAAACGAGTTCCTACGTAAAGAGAAAAAGGAAAGAGAGACGTTCGTCCGCGGATTGCCGATTGCATGCAGCGTCATTCATGACAACAATTGTGTTCTTCGACGTCTTGGTTTCAATCGCCATCTCCGAAGACGCGTCCCGCTCGATTCGTGCCGGTGTTCGAAAAAAATCACCGCCGGTTACCGTCGCCATCGAAGCGACGTCGTCACCGAAGCGGATCGTCACTGCCTCCCCTTCCCCCCGCCCCTCCTTTCTCCTCGAGTTAGTCTCGCGAGTCCCTCGGTGTCAATTGTTGATAGGTAGCTGCGACTCCTGTACATCACTGGAGATGGAGATCTCGGCGCACACGCAGCCTACGTAGAGCCTCATTTTCTCCTTCTCGCCATCGCCATAGGACACCTCGATGTTTTTGTACGTTTGTATGCAGCAGTAGATGCCCTGACAGTGTGATTGCATGTAATTGCATTTCACATGCTCCAGATCCTTTGGTACCCGGGAACCCCGAACGTCTGGTACCGACTCCACGGTGTACTTGCATATGGATCTGTTCTGCGCCTCCTTCACCTCCAGCTCCAAGAAAGGAGGATCGTTCTCGATCGGTCTCGTGGAAACCTTGGGTCCGTGATCGTTCGATTCTTGGTAGTTCCTGTTCTGCTCGTTGGGTTTGCTCAGTTTTTGATAGGTCATGCTGTCATGTTTATTGTGACGTTTTCTCCTGGCGACGAGCTCCATTGGTCGCAAGGACTCGCTACGTCTCGAGTCAGATTCGTGTCTGGAACGGCGGAAGTACGATGGTAGATCCTCCGAACCCTCGTACTTCGAGGAACGATTCAAAATTTGAGGATATCCGCGTGTCTTCGTCTGTTCGTAGGAATTGCGATAAGACTCCAGATCATCCTCGAGACGTCCCGATAGATCTCGTGGCAGCGATTCCTCGAGATTGTAATGACTTGAATGGGAATGATGCCCGTGTCGGCGTCTCAGACTCCGGCCTTGAATGAGCGACGGGCTAATGATGATACAGGCGACAAGAACAGACAGGTAAAATCCGACGTTGAATATCGCCATTGTGTTGATTTAGTCCGAAATTTGTATAAAAGGTAGGTCTTCCACGGAGGTCAGCAACCTTTATCGATGATGTGGCCGCTTTTGTTCTTCTTCTTAGAACAACCCGGGATGGATTTTCTTTCCGGATGTGCTTTTCCTTTATAAATTGTTTTCCCACGCACTAACGTCGGGATTTTTCAATTTCTTTTTTGCTCTTGTTTCTTTCTATCGCGTTTCTTAATCACAGTGGAATAATATCTTTCATTTAAACATATATGCGAGATGACGAAACTAGGAATCGAACCCGATTCTTTTGTTTGACGGATGATTACTTTTTCCACTAAACTTCTTCATTAACGACGTCGGCTTATCTTCTGGACACTTTCCGAATAATTTCTGTCGATCGTTTACGTGAATGTGATGGAAATATGATAATAGATCGAGCGATTGCGATCAAAGCCGATAACTGCAGTTCAGGGAAATTTCTTCAAGCTCAGGCGATTAATTTTACCACCAGAAAATTGATTATCTTCCGGGGTTCTTTTGATTATCGAATTTTCTTTGAAATTCGACAAAATTGATGGTGCGTATCTCAGCGAGACACTGGAAGACCGTGAATACACGCGGCGCGGTATTTCGAATCGGAATTTTTCAAATTTGATCGACCGTCCGACGGATCTTTCGGCCACTTGACGTAAGTCGAAAATATTTCGACAATCTGGCTGTTTTTTGGGCTAGATGCCGCGCGATTCTCTGTGATAATTCGCCGGTCAGAGTTTGGCGTGCGGCGCTGACCAATGCAAGGCACGCGAGAGTCTCGATAACTTTCTGGATTCCCGGCGGATTCCCTCGGCGGATCACTCAACGCGAACTTGTCGTCGGGATTTGTAAGATCGAGAGACGAGGTGGTTATCTCTGTTCTCGTCTCGGTTCGATCGTCTTAATGGCTTGCTTAAAACTGAGAATTCCCTGATCCTCGAAGGATTTTTTATCCTATCCGCGAACGTGCACGTGGGTGGTATTGCCCCACTTTAACGGGGGCTTGCGCGTGCCGGTATACACGAATGTGACTAATATATCTCCCCTCTCTTTGCCCACACCTTGTGCAGCCCCTGGGTGCACGGGGCCGCGGGGGGCCGGGCCGGGGCCCCAAGAAGAGTTTCTTTAGCGCGGCGCGAGCGACTCCCTCTTCTTCGGACGCGCGCCCTCCTCTTTGACGTCACGAGGTCTCCTCGTTCCCTCTCGATGGACCTGCCATCATCCTCGTTGCCGTCGTCGTCGCCATCGCTTCTGCTCTTCCCTTAAACATGGATTTAGTATCGCTGTCCATCTCGGCCATTGACGTCACACCTTGGTGCGCATAATGCCCGCACTTATAGCGGAAAGAGAGACCGAATGTCTCGTGCTTCGCGGAATCCCCCTCGCTCTCAGCAATATCCTCACGTATGCCACCGCGAGCACGGCGATGACGATGACGATTACGCGCGACGAGAACGCGCGCGAGGGGGTTTTACTTCGAAAGTAATAACGCAACGCCTTTCCCTTTTGACGTTTACGCGCGGCACAATTTTTCCGCGTTGACGCTCGCGCGCCTCGGATCTCGCGGATACCGCCGACCGACCTGGCCTGGCACGCGACCGCACGCGATTGCACGTATCGAGGGAAAGGACTCCCCCTTACCGATTACCGTCGAATTTTTTTTCTTAACTCACACTTCGGGGAATTACCGATGAGACACCACGCGGAAGCTGAACCGTCCCGTTCCCGATTTCGCCCGCGGTTTCCGGCATTCGGACGGATGGTAGTCCATCGCCGCGCCGCTGAGCTCCGCATCGTCCTCGCACCGACGAAAGTTCGCGGCGATACTGATATTTTAGACGCTGAGAGCGGCATGGACCTATCGTCGTCGCCACGATGTGACTGTCAAAAAATTAATCGCCACTACCTTACGAAAGCATATTAAATGACATTTACACGCAAGCACGCTTGCCCCTTCCATCACTCTCCCTCTCTTGAATAACGCTGCACATTCGCGTGAACCAGTCGAGGTGGCATCACCAGGTACTCTCGCAGGGTTCCCGGACGTGCCTCCTTTTTTTTTTTTTAGAAGGTCGAAGAACGCGCGTATCGTGAAAGCGCTTGGAATTTTTACTAACTCCTACCATTATCTACCGTTATTTTTTTTATCTAGCGCGTACATGTGTGCGCGTGTACGCACGCGAATACATTTAGAGACAGAAAAATCTCCGAAATTCGAAAAAATGTACTAGTTTATTCGTCACGGGCAGAGGCACGTAATATTAAAATGAAATTTCCTAACGCGGCATAAATGGCACGGTACACGGCCAGACATTTTTTTCACCTTAAAAAAGATCCTCGAAATTATCGCGAATTTCTATTTACTACTTGAGCTATTCATTAATTCCTTTTATAATTTATTCGTACTATCCCTTCGTTATTTCTTTTTTTACTTGTCAAAATTTCGATTATTTTACTTTCTCCTATTTAAAATTGAAGTATTAAAGTTATTAAATAAGAATACATTAATCCCCTTTTCCTATTTTCGGAATTTAGTTACAACGCCAGATGGTACCAGGATGTCGGGAAAACAAAGAGAGAAAGAAAAGTAAGAATAAAGCTGGACCCCGATTTCGCAGATTAGAATATTTAATTAATATCCCAGAATAAATATTAACTTTTTTTAAGTTCATTCATTTTTTTGCGAGATGGACGTAGAAATTTGTTCTGCAACATTATTTACGTTATGCTAATGTTGTTGTTGTTTAAACATACCTTCGAATTTTTAGGCAAATCCTATTTGACTCCAAAAAAATTGATATATTCGTCGAGGATCTTGCAAAAAATTACGCAGAGAAGATCGACGATGGAGATCAACCGGTTTTCTAAACGATTAAAAAAGATTTAATCTCCTATACGCACTGATGAACAAATAAGACATGTATATAGGGTACTTGGACTTTTGAGTCTACATATGTTTTTATTCTACATCCTACATAGTATATGTGAACACATTCTCTAAGTATTTTACCGTCATCACGTTAATTTGCTGCATTAATTTTGCATTATAACGCGTGACCGTGCTATTCTTAACTATTTTGAGTTTTGGGAAATGGGACGTATATGTTTACACACTTTATGCATAAAACTTTCGGTATTTACTTTTATTCCGCAATTATTCAATCTAAAAAGATTTCACAAAACACATTTCAGATATGCATATCTATATATACATATATGTAACAGAGGAGATAAAATATCAAATCCGTAAATAACACATTTTGAGAGGTAACTGCCTCTTTTTGTTTATACAAATAAATCTCCCGGCAGATCGTTTTTCGTTGGGAAGCTCGCGTGTGTGCCGAATTTAAGAATGGACTTGGTGGCAACCACGCAAGCTCTCCTGATGCACTCGTCCATCGGCAGCTCCGGATGATACGCCTTGAAATATGCGAGCCCACCCAAAAATGCATCCCCGGCACCCTGCATCGCATACCACTGCACTTAACTACCTGAGGCAATTTCCTTCTTAAATGCTTACATGCCAATCACTTGGCAATGAATCACTAAGTGAATCAGCGTTTCAGTTCACCGGAAGTTGACCGGTTGTCCATTCAAAAGATCGCAAACCGGCAAATACCATCTACCATCAAATACTTTCACCTGCACCGTTTCAATCTCATGATCTCATAAATGTGAAGAGATTGAGAATCAATTTACAAGATTGTTTTATAAGCAGGAAGTACAGATCGTGTACTTGTGTAAAGAAAAATGAGACGAAATATGTCGTGTTACGTAAATCTAACAAAAATTTGTAGGAAATGTCCTAGAACCGTCGTATATCAAGTTATTCAAAAATGTGCGCTTTAGAAAGAATAATTTCTTATTCAATTTCGTTGAATAACGACTCAAAAAATTCACCGTGCAATCTACCGCAACTACGACGGTTCTGCGACACTGTGTATATATATATATATGCAATACGTACGGTAGTATCTACAGGGTGGACCTCGGTAGTAGAAATCCGCGTGACGTTTCTGTTCGCTCTCGACGCATACGCAGCTCCGAGCGGCCCGAGAGTAAGGATGATCGCGTTGCATCCCTTGGCCAGGAGCTCGTCCGCGACTTGCTGCACATTCGACAGGTCTACGGGGTGAATGCCCGTCGTAACTTCCGCCTATAAAAGTATAACGGGATCTCTGGCATGCCTCAAATATCATAAACTGAATTCTTTAATATATCGGCCGTTTCGGGGGGGAAAAAAAAAAGAACGACGATGTCTCGTCACCGCAACGATCGCACTAATCGTCTTTTGCACATACCTCCGTCTCGTTGACGCAGAAAATGTCGCATAATTTGAGGATTTCCGGGTCAGGGTTCTTCAGCGCGGGCGCCCCGTTGACAATCGAAAGTCCTATCACGTTACGATTATGTAAAAGTGTATCTCAGAGCCGCGATATCGCAAATCGTCAGTCTTTAAAGACGCGAGTCATTTGAAAGATAACACGTAATTCGCGTAAATTTTGTCATGGCAATTAATGCAGGACAGCGCTTTCGACCACGTCTTTTCTGGGACTTGCGATAGTTTGGCTCCGAAAAAGAAAGGATTTACACGGATACTTGTAATAAAATGTGGGGTGAAACGAGTGAAAAAGAGAAACGCACCGTGGCCCTGGTGTAACTTCAACGCGCGCAGCGTGCTTTCCAACGGCACCTCGAACTGACATAACAAAACGCTCGCGCTTTTGATCACGTCAGCGGCGGAATCCACATGTTCCGGAGTCAACGATTCGTTTGCGCCCAACACGATAACGATGCTGTTCTCACCTGCGAACGTTATTCGAAATGCGTTCCGATTACTTACAGGTCTTATAGCGCGACGAGAGGGATCGTTGGGATTATCTTAACGGAGAAGTTTGATTTTAATGCTGTTATTTATTCAGGCTATTATTTTAATCCCTTAGATTAGTCGGAATTTATTTGACGTCTTCCCATATGAATTGCAATTTCAAGGCACTCGGAAAGATTCTGATTTATATTTTCGAAAACGTACCATTTTCAGCAACGACAATGTGAGCAACGCCACTGTGCTTGTCGCTTTGTATCTTCACGCGAGATGCGTCCACATTTTCCTTTCTAAAAATCTCTAAGTATTCTTGAGCGAACGGGTCAGAGCCTAACTGTGATAAGAGATAAAGAATCGCAATACATGTAAATGCAACACAAAAATCATAATTAATTAGAGTTATAAACAGCAACGGATAATAAATGAATATTGAAAAAAAAGTCAGATGCGAGAAGTGACAAGTTAGTCTTGTCTAGAAAATAAATGCCTACTGAAGCAATAAGTGCTGTGGATCCTCCAAGTTTAGCAGCTGTCACGCACTGGTTGGCGCCTTTACCGCCGTAATTCTTTTCAAATCTAGTCCCGACTATCGTCTCGCCAGGTTTAGGCAACCGTGGAGAGAAACTAAAAAATGTGACAACGTTTATTTTCAAAAAACAATAACATACAGGGATTGTAGCTAGCTATAATCGAATTCACTCGTTGCTTATTTAACAATTAGGTGCGTTGAATACAATTAGAAATTACTGCGGCACAAACACATGCGGTTGTGAGTTGTGAGAGCATCTTTTTTCATGCAATTCGTAATTATACACTTATTATCAGGATTATACAGGGTGTTTCATTTTAAATAATGCATTTTAATATCTCTTCTATAACTCGTCATAGACAAAAATATTTCCGACAAAAGTTGCAAGGTTTGGAGGGGGCCATATGATGAAAATGTGGACTTAGAGCTTTATTAGTGTTTTGAAAACGTCTCGAGAAGGGCTACAAGAATATAATATAAAAAATAAGTGTTTTATTAAAAAATTTTGAGGTGACCTTGATCTGATCTTGAAAAGGTCACCCAACGACAAGCCTATACCCAGATAACACAGTGACGTCAAATGACGTATTAATTCCATCATAATGCCATCTTAATGACGTTAAAGACGGCATTATGACGGAATTAATACGTCATTTGACGTCACTGTGCTATTTGGGTATATATCTTCATCATGTGGCCCCCTCCAAACAATGCAACTTTTGTCTGAAACATTTTTGTCTACGAGTTACAGAAGACATTAAAATGCATTATTAAAATAGGACACTCTTATATCATAATATTTGCTATAACAAAACTACAATGTAATTGTAACATTAATAATCGCAGATCGATCGTCGAGGCAGAGTAAACTTTTGCAACGCGCAAAAAAAAAAGCCTCGTCCTTACTCACCAGGTAAAGTCAATCATGCACGAACCGACAACGACTATCTTTGCCATGCCGTACGTTTTTATTCTTTCTCTCTTTCTCTCTCTCTCTCTCATACACACGCATACAGTTTTTCTCGCGAGTAACAAACTTCAGAGCGATAAGTTAAAACAAACGTTATTTTCCTAAACGATACTCGCGACAATGGTCATTTCTAGGCCTAATTACAGCGACTAACTGCTGGCAGAGCGCACGGATAATCCGCGTTATCGTTGTTTGTCATTCAACGAGTTCGCGAACCAATGAGTTTGGGTGACGTTATCAGTCGAAGGATTTTTTCTTTGCGTGTGACCCGACGGCGACGAGACTCCGAGCGGGCCGAAACGGGAGGAATGCTGCGAGATACGTGAATTAATTTAAACCGCCACGCCGCTCTGTCTCACGGTAAGCCAAAAAAAGAGACGTTATTTACAGCAACGTTTGCCTTGACGGGGACAGGTTATCTTTCGTTTCTTTTTTTTTTACATTTATTATATATCAAGACAAAGTTGCACAGAATGTGAGAAAACGCTCTATCGAGACTTCGCATCGACTTTGCACCGCTAGAGAAGCGTTTATCCGACGATATAAATCTCGCGACGGAAAAAATGACGTGCCTACGTTGGCCTATGTGTGCACCGCTGCACCCACGTGCTTAAACGTATTCGACATCGTCCATGTGTCATCGAGAGTGATAGATGGGCAGCTCCTGCTCCGAGTTGCGACGAGTGTATTGTCCGTATCGCATTGCCAGTCACCATAGTGCGCACGTGTGAATCTGGTTACCTTTCATATTGTTTACGTGACGCTAGAGCGATATAAGCATGGCTACTTGATAGTAATTACAATTTAATTCACGCCTTGTACGATTGCATATTTAACAAATGGGTATCGTTGTATGTACATATGTGATATGTGTAATGACACGGCAAAATATAAGCGATAAGACTCGAGCAGTCGGCGGCTCGATCAATCACAATCGAGATTTTCAAAATCGCAGTCTTACGTTCTCGAGAATTCTTCATTGCGATTGGTAGATTCGCTCAATGCTTAAATCTTACTGTATATTGTATATTGCGTTCCGCGACTTTTACAGCCAATCATCTGTCCGATACAGAAAGTATACATCGATATGACGCGACGCACGATTGATCGATTTAACATTCATCTGATGTCTATCTATAATCTATATTAATTCAGATTAACTTCAATCTCGATTTAATTTATTTTTTATCCTCTTTTTTTATCTTTTTATCTTACTTCTTACTTTTTATCTTTTTCTAATTCCTAGAACTGGAAAAAGGATAAAAAGTAAGCTAAACCGAAATTAAAGTTAATTTACATTGATAAAAATGGACGTGAATTGGTTCGCAAACTCCATCCGAACTAATTGACATGCAGACAATTTCGTACGCAAATTAATATTTAATTCCTTTTTCTTTCCAAGCAAGTGTCAAATATCAATGCACTGAGTTCCAATCGCTATCGAACGCCCGAAGGATCAACGTTGACCGCGAAATCAATCAGGAATCGATGAATGCCACGGGGTTATTAAAACAGCTAATGGGTAATTTGCTGTTCGCAGGTTTGTTTCAAGCTCCAATTCATCTCGAAAAAACGGAAATCGTTTTTGCATGCCGGTACTATAAAAATCCGACCTCTCGATTAGCGCAGTCTTTAACGTCAAAATTTACGCAATCAATGATAACGATTGTCAGAGATTGTCAAGGTCTCTGATAAGGGAGAATCAAGCGCGAGACCGCAAATAGAAATTATGTCAGTGAATTGAATATTGCGCGTTTCACGCCACACTGTCCCTCTCTCCTTTTCTACCCTTCTTCACCCCCCTTCTCCCTATACAGAACTCGATCTCAATATAGAGCGAAGGGGAGTCAAGTCACGTCTCTCTCTCTTTTACGCGCCGTGCTTTATACGCTTTTTACGAGACTATTACACAATTGCTCGAATTTGTTCCAGGCCGTCCAAAAAAGCGACAGAACATGACGAGCCCGGTGGTGATTTCGGCCACGGCTAAGCACACAGCGACGGTAGATATCAAATCTTTTACGTAGACATAGCGGTAATTTTTGGTTATACCACTCGCGGTGGAGCGATCCTAATTGATTATAAGTGAATTACGTTTACGCCGCGCAAGATGCTCCCTTACGTTTGCGCCTTTTTTCCTCTCTTCTCCCCGATCGTCGGCAAATCACCGATATCACTGCTCCGTTTCGATGCTCGCTGATTGATCTTGTCGTCGGTTTTTTCCTTGGACGAATATCGCACGTCTTCCGCGAGGCGCGGCGGCTGTTATCCTAACGGGAACAATCAAACACAGCATCTCCGAGAATGGGGTACTGCCACCGGTCTTCCACCGTCGTGCCCACTTTCAGCGACGCGTCTCGAAATGCGGATTTTAAATCTGAAATTTCAATTTTTTAAAATAATACTTCCAAATAAAGTCAATACTGTCTTATTTCGTACTAAGAAATACCTGTGTTTCAGTTAATATTTTTCCATGGCTTGGGTGATACAGGGTGAGTTCATGTCTGGAGCGAATGGATGTAACTCGTAACGTTGCAAAACGATAAATCTTGTTAGCACTTTATAAATGTTTTCAGGCATGGCTGGGCTAGTTCCATGGGCGCAGTGCGGTCCCCTCATATCAAAGTTATTTGTCCTACTGCGTATGTGATTGCTAATATCTTTAAATGTCCTACGACTGAAGCTGTAAATTAATAATGTATTTTAATATGTGACTCTTTGATTGTTTTCAGGCCAACGATACCAGTGACGTTTAACGCAGGGTTCAGAATGCCTGCCTGGTAAGTTTAAGATGAACACATTAATATTAAGTTTCTAATGAAAACTATTACGAGTCAGTGTTACATGATTACTGATGCATCCTGCAATTTTAGGTTTGATCTGCGCTCTCTGGACTCCAGTGGCCCAGAGGATGAAGAAGGTATACGTAAGGCCACTGAAATGGTCCATTCGTTAATAGCGGAGGAGGTTGCAGCTGGGATACCCACCACGCGCATCGTTCTCGGAGGATTCAGTCAAGGTGGAGCATTAGCCATATACAGTGCTCTTACATTCCCAGAGCCTTTAGCCGGCGTCATAGCTCTATCCGCATGGCTTCTTTTACATAAAAAATTTCCAGCAGTAAGTATCGTATCATATACATAATATACATAATAATGTAGAATAATAATGTATAATAGAATCGCGCATAATAATATAGAATAATGATTATAATAATTATTTTCAGGAAGCGATAGGTAATAGGAACACTCCGCTGTTACAATGTCACGGCGATTGCGATCCAATTGTGCCATATAAATGGGGTCAAACAACAGCGACCCTTCTAAAACAATTCATGACACAGACAGAATTCAAAACATACCGAGGAATGATGCATACAACTGACCAGGAGGTAAGGAAGCTCCGATTAGAAAGACCCGTCGAATCTTTTTTCACGTTCAGAGAAAATATAATGTCTGTCTTCTTTTTTATTATTTTTACAGGAAATGCGCGACATAAAGAAATTCATCGAGAAGGTTCTGAAGCCGTAATAGATCAAATTGAACATATTGATATTTTATCGGCTACTTTAAACATGTAACTGTACATTATATTGAAATGATTCCAATTTTGCGGTTATTTAATTTTAGTAAATTATATGAACTTTAAAAGCGTTTAAGTAGAAAATCGTTGAAAATCTTCCAAACTATTGAGATGCAGCGCTACTAGGAAAAATATATTTATTTACAACCTTTATAATTTTCATCTGTATAAACACTGTTCAAACACTTTTCGGTATTTTAATGTACCAAAGCATTCATATAGCAATACTACAAATTAATCCATGCGGTCCTTAATCTTTTTAATATGCATCTATAAATTGGCATTCCTCGTTTTTTTATATTTATAATGTCTATATATAGCATACGCATATACTAAATATACATATATTTACAGATATGTATATAAGTACATATGTATCAAACAAATACCTTGTATTTAGTTATAAGGCCACCGGTGTGGCGATTTATTATTTAAAAATAGTACGAAGGTGGTTGAGTTTATTCATTTTTGCGATTTAAGTCTGCGACAATAGTAAATTTACAAATAAATTTATGTCAGATTTAAGATAATGTTAAGTTATGTTAGAGAAAGAGCCGCGTCAGCTCTTCTATTGACAACACTTCCAACTTTTTCGCGCCTATATTTCGAATACTTGTTTGGATACAAACGAAACACGTCCACGAAGCACTTAATTCGCGCATTTGAGCAGCTGCGAGCCTTTTACATTCAAATTTCTATTTCACGCGATTTAGGCCCGTAACGTAACATGAAATGTTGCTGTTAATGAATCACTTTTGTAGCGAGTCTAGAAGACAGTGACACGGCCAATGTAATCTGTGATTACGCATTGCATTGTCGAAAGCCCCCAGTCCATCATTTATTATCGGTATAACACGAATCAGGATTTCCTAAGCTCTTTTACGGCGCGAATATCCACAATCATATAATTTACAAAAATATTTGCATAGCTTTAGAATCATATGAAGCAGTATACTCCTTTAATACTTTGGTTCTCTGTTATATCTTTATACGATATAGAAAAAAATAAATTTTCGAAAAATGAAAAAGATTATTTCTTATGTGTATTTCAAGTTTGGGAAATCCTGCGATATATACCGTAAAGATAAAGGTAGTATAGATACAGTATTAATACATTGTAAAGTTATACTAAAAATGTATATAAAATTATATGATACTTGGCTAATTTTATTATTATTGAGTACTAACACGCTATCCGGTAGACAAATAATAAGTAAAGAAAGAACAATAAGCCCGAAGTATTTTTCATGGGTTTTCTTTACGAATACACTTTATAGCTAGCAACAGACTAGGATATTAGCTCATAAGTTGTGTAACAACTTTTGCCAGTATAAATAAAATGAGCCTGAAATAAGCATGAAGAATTTTCCTGAAATTTTCCCAAAATTATGGTACTCGTGGTATTGATATCTGAACGTAATACACACTGTCCGTCAATGATTGCTTTCCTGAGGTAAGGGGGGTGATTTAATATAATAGTTGCTTTCCATTTACATCAAAACTCAGATAATTCTCACTTGTGACGTCATAACTCAGTTCAGTTGAATGCACGTTCTTTTTGCATGCTGGCAAGTGAGATTCAACTGAGTTTTTATCCACAATCGAGACCATGTGCTTTAATGAATCTAATAGACTCATCACATTAAAAGTGAGGCAATGAACCTGTATTATTGTGCGATAGCTTTGTCACCAAAATAAGCAGGTAAATACAAAATGACATATCTTACCTGAGTATAAAACACTCACATAACTGAGTGACTCAAATCACTTGAGTGTAAATGGAAAGCAACTAATAGAAGTAATCACTATAGTGTCTCTAGGCTTCTATGTTCCCCCCTTACCTCAGGAAATGCAGAATCGTTGACGGGTATGTGCAAATAATACAAAGTACAATGTTTCAATATATATTCACGAGTTCTTATCACATCTGTTATCAACTGCAGTCAACGAGTCAACAGACAGTCTGGCAATGAGGTGGTCAACGTCAGCATGAACAAGCCGTTTGTCAGTTTATCTGAAACAATCCTTGAATCGAGAACTTTTTGAAAAGCTACTGATAACTGTCCATAAGGTATATTAGCTAGAAGAAGTGTTTTATTGATTTATTTTTTCATTTTTCTATTATACCGTTATTTCTAACAAGCGGTTTAGCGGTGACAAAACGAGGTTATAAAATCGTACAAATTCTAAGTTGCTATAAAGAAACTTGTCAGTATGACGCATGTAAGTTCGTTTATTCTGAGCAGTCTGAAAAATGGAATTCAAAAAGTGGTGCTCAATAAACCCGCCAAAAAAAACGCACTTTCGCCACAGGTAAATAAATGTATAAAGGGTACCTACTTGATAGCATATTTCAAATATAAAAATAATCGCGTGTAAATTTCCTATTCATTTCTCACAGATGTATAAGGAATTAACAATGCTTTTAAATGAATCTGCTGAAAACAACGAAGTAATGGTATTTGCTCTGACAGCAAATGGAGATTTTTTTAGTAGCGGTAATGATCTAATTGCCTCAATGGAACTTACTTTGAGTTCTTCCCTCGTGATAATTAAGTAAGCAGCATAAGAAGCAGGTATTAAAAATTTACAAATATGGAAATTAAATGGACAAATATTTTGCAGGGAATTTATCGATGCTGTAATTATGTATCCAAAGCTTTTAATAGCTGTTGTAAATGGACCAGCAATAGGAATAGCAACTACAATATTAGGGATTTTTGACATAGTTTATGCTTCGGATAAGGTGCCGATTCAGTTGCTCAGTAGGAAATTGTTTTAGACATTATAATTATGTTCGAATATATTACGTAAATTACAGGCATATTTTCAAACACCGTTCAGCTCCTTGGGTCTTGTCGCCGAAGGATGTTCTTCGTATACGTTCCCGAGATTATTGGGACATTCCAAAGTATGTTTCATTGAAAAAATATGAGCAAATTATCATTGAGATATATATATCTGGAATTTTAATTTTTATAACAATTCTAGAATAAAATTTCGATATTACATTGTAAAAATATTTATTTAGGCTGGAGAGATGTTGTATTTAGGATATAAGATGAACGCTCAGGAAGCTAATCAATATGGCTTGGTTAGCAAAGTATACAATCATGATTCTCTTGAGGAAGTATGGAATTATTTGAACATGATATCTACACTTTCTTCACAGGTATTGATTCTTGCTTAATGCTTTTCGCAATTAGTTTCTATTGATATATTTATGCTAGTAGACCATAGTAATTAAAATTAATCGATTAATTTCAGTCAATATTGGCGACTAAGCGTTTGTGTAAATGGAATAAAGAAATTTTATTAAAAGTTAATAAGGAAGAAATGAAAGAGTTGAAAAACTTAATCGAATCTCCTGAACTATCTGAAAGGATGTTGAGTTTCTTGACACGAAAAAATAAGCTTTAAAGTCAATATAAATCAGTATTATATATCTTTTAATAAACTAAGGGTACTGGATTTAATATCTCAAAATGTATTCACAATATGTAAATTCCTTATAAAATATATCGTTTTATAACAGCATAATTTTTATGTAATTTATATAATTCTTTGTCATTTATATATAATTAAACTCTTTGCATTGTAGAATTTTTAAATATGAATGTTATATTATCACCTACTTCTCTTAACATAATATCCTGTAAATATACATAAACCAAGTCAGAAATTTTGAATCGTAGTTTTCAGTTATTACCGAGTAAAGCTTATTATTACCTGCATAACGTCAGATGAAATTGGTTGCTTAAAATGTTGCCAGTCTCGAAGTTGATTTATAGTTAAATTTTGTTGCGATGATTTGTCACACAATGTAAATTGACAATCTCGTGTCTCGTTACCTTTTTCTGTAAATTCTTCAGAAGATATGTGTTCATTCTTGCCCGAACAAGAACAATTCATTAAATCATGTGTTAACGAAATTGTATCACTTGTCAACGTAAATAAATCCTAAAAAAAAAATAAAAAAAATGAAAAATATTCCAAGTAATAATTTTCGTAATTATCAAAATTTTTCTAATAAAAAATACCTTTAATTCCGCAGTTGATAACTTTAGAGATCCAAGGCGATTCAGGTCCACCACAGATTCACATAGACTGGCTTTGCTAATTTGTCTTTGATATATCTTCTCTTCTATTGTACCTGTGGTCAGTAATCTACAAATTTGTTCATATAGTTACGTACCTTCGTTAAGTAATTAATATACTACCATTACTTGATGATGTTAAATTTATACAAACCTATAAATGTAAACATTCCTCTTCTGTCCATCTCTCCAAATCCTTGCCATTGCTTGTAGATCAGATGCGGGATTCCAATCAGAATCAAATAACACAAGTCTGGATGCTCCAGGTAAATTCAAACCAACACCACCCGCCTTTGCACTTAGCAAAAGAACTTCTGTAAACATTATTTTTCAGTGATATATTAGTTTTTATTCATGAAATATATATACTATAAGTGCAAGACACAATTGTGTCCCTTGATTTTTGCAAAACTTACTGCTGTTATCGGTTCGCGTATTAAATTGTTCGGTAATCTTCAATCGTATAGAGGTTGAAGTAGTACCGTCTAATCTTAAGAACTTTAACTTTTCCATGTTACATATAGTCTCAAGAAGATCAAGTGTTTGTGTGTAATAGGAAATTAACACTAACTTCTCGTCAGTCTTTTTCAAATTTCTCATTAATGTCTGTAGAATTGTGACTTTCCCACAATATTCGATAAAGTTTTCGTCCCGTTTTATTTGCGATATCCATGACGTTTTTGACAAAGTATCATATAGCGCGTTCTCCTTCTCGTTTATAAACAGATTTGGATGGTTGCAAATTTTTTTAAGTGCAGTAATGATGGACAAATGCATGTTACTTTTGTCTTCTAGACATATTTTGTTGAACCAAGCACTGGTAACAAGAGAATATAAATCTTGTTGTTTCTTGGATAAAGCGCAAAACACGACTATTTCGTGTTTTTGCGGCAAATATTTGTTTATCGTACTTTGCGTACGTCTTAAAATGAAAGATTTAGTGGATTCATACAATTCTGATGATCTTGCCTTTCCCAGGCTAAGAACATCAGTGTTTGCATAGGGACACTGAGATGCAACGATAGGATCCTCGTAATAATTCTTATACTCATTAGGAGTGCCAAGAATGCCAGGATTAATAAAATCGATCAGTGCATAAAATTCTTTTAAATCATTCTGTACAGGTGTGCCCGTTAAAATGACTCGCTTTTTACAATCAATCTCGTGTAGCAACTGCAACATACATAAAATAACACATAAGTATTCATGTATTTACATTTATAGATTAATAATAAATTGTGTTGTTAGTAATGTATATTAATGAATTACCTTTGCTGCTTTTACATTGCTATTTTTCAATCTGTGGCCTTCATCACATACAATCAAATCAAAAGCGAGTTCACTAATCTCCGTATGACATTTAATAAACATTTCATAGCTAATAATCATCACTGAATTTTTCGGATATTTAATAAAATCCTTGGGTTTATTTTTTCCATTCGCAACATATGGAGATATTCTGTGAGAGCCCAGCCATTTTACGAATTCCTTTTCCCAGTTATTGCATAAGCTACTAGGTGTTATTATTAACACGCGTTTCGCAATCGGTTTACCATACGGACCCTTTTTCAACATTGTCCAAATTAATGTGATACATTGTAAGGTTTTGCCGAGGCCCATTTCATCAGCCAAAATTGCACCAAAGTAATCCGGCACTCTTAGTCCCATTAAGCACTCGTACAGAAATATAATTCCATGACGTTGGTGTTCTCTAAGTTTTGCTACTAAACAGAAATCAACCGAGACTTCCTGTTCCTTTTGTTCTGTCCATTCAATAGAATTCAAGTATGGCATCACTAAAGGCTCGCTATTCAATGTCAATCCTTTAATATAAATATTTATTTAAATCAATGGTTAATATAATTAATAATTAAAGGCTGCGGTCCGATTCACGCTCACAGCGCTGAAAGCGTCGCTCTATCTTCGTTTGATATTCGATCGAAGACAGAATGATGCTTACAACGCTTGAATGTGAATCGGACCGCAGCCAATCAGTCATGAATTTGTACCTTTTGCGGATGAAAACAAGGGCACAAATGCATGTGTCGAAGATACTTTATTGAACTTATTTCTTGACAATTCCTCCACTGTTTTTTCAAGACTCTTCTCTGGTAAAAGTAACTCCTGTGACACCTGATCTGTAATCTAGAATCAATTTTGTTAGGATTTGTTTTCATATGCTACATAAATGAACATTAGTGCATGCTCTTACTTCAACTTGTTTGTTTCCTATAATTAATCTAAAGCCTTCTATTGCATTGCTCGGATTAATTTTACTTCTTCCCACAACATTACCATCCAAATCCTATAAAAAAATAAATATAATAATCTTTGAGTCAAAATATTTGCAGTTGATGTAGTAGTTACCTTAAGAATTGCGCTTTTTCCAGTTACTTCTAGCAAACCGTCGCTATCCCACGTTTTGTGCTTCTTTGGAGTTACTTTGCCGTACACCACATTGAATGTGCTATATCAATATTTATTTATATAGCTCAAGGGATACAAATTAATCTTTTAAAATTTAGTTTTCAAGAAGTTACATTTTAGTGTTTGCTTCGGGTGAATTGGTTGATTCTTTCTTCTCATAAACTGCAGCATCATTTTCTTTTAGTGTTTGAAATGCACCTATTGTAGATGTCTTGAGTTTTTTTTGTAGTGGTTCCTCTGCTGCCACTTCGGACCGTTTCTCTGATATCGACGGTTCTCCTGACACCTGATCTATAATCTGAAATTAACTTTGTCAGAATTTCTACAGACAATATAACATAAATGAAAATAAATGCAAGCCGTCTTACCTCTATTTGTTTATTTCCTATAATTGATTTGAAGCCTTCCACCACATTGCTTGGATTGATTTTAGTTCTTCCCAAAACTTTACCCTCCAAGTCCTATTGTATCAGAAGCATTAACAAATAAATAATTGCTTAATGATTTATTAATGTGATTGTTTAATGTAATGAAAGATTTATAATGGATGCTCTGAATTACCTTAAGAATTGCATTTTTTCCAATTACTTCCAGGAAACCGTCGCCATCCCATGTTTTATGTTTCTTTGAAGATATCTTTCCGTACATCACGTTAAATACGCTGTAAACGATAACAATGTTTATTTACAGCCCGTAAAATCGAGATTAATCTGTTCATAACGCTTACTTTAAAAAATACTTACATTTTTGCTGACGTTTTGGACGAATCAGTAACCAACGTTTTCCTCCCACGTATCGGAGAACTGGCATCTCGTTTGGTCGGTGAATTATTCTCCACTTGGACATTATCGTGACCGACCTCATTTTCTTGAGTCACCTTTTCGAAAAAGTTTAAAATTTGCAAGTTACTGCGGGGAGGCTTTCTCGCAAAATTGCTCGGTGGTGGTACCTCGTTTTCCTCGTGTTTCTCGCCAATCGCTCGCGGCTGAACAATGAAAGGGGATACGAATCCCTTCACAGGCTTATTTCGATACATGAAGAGATCAAAATTGATCGAAATCAGCTGAAACCAACAACACACGATCCATCCACTCAAGACTCGAGACGAGACTCGACACACGACACACGACTCGTTCAAAGGCGCGAAACTAAATCGAAATATCGAAATCGGTGTAATGGCAATTGACTAGAAATACCAACTGCAAAATTATAATTTTATAAATTCCCTAATGTTGGCGAACCATCGACATTTCTTGAAGCGCGAAAATTCAAATTTTCAGAAATCGAAATGTAATTAAATGGAAATTGTCACTACATCAGAAATTCTATAATCACATTTCCAAGAAAGTTCACAAAATTTTAAATCAATTAAGCGTCTCGAACTGCGTATATTGGACTATTAAAAAAATCGAAAAAATACTAAGATATGGAGATAGGGAAGTGTCATTCATTATCTGGAATTCTAAGAATTGTGATTTGAAGAATTTCCAAAATCTCAAATTTGAAATTTTGATTATAAAAAATGACGAATTAGTATGATACAAATCAAAGCTTGAAACATTTAAAAACTCTTTATTTAAATTTCTTTATTTTAAATAAAAATAGACAGAAATCAGACATGATTGCCAAAAACGATAGTGTCTCAATATAAATAGTAGGTATTTTTGAACCAGTGTAAATGTATATTCTGTGTGTACAATATGATACCGATGTCATTACGATTATTGACTATGTGTCATATTTTGGACACCGTTGTCTGTCACCCGCGTGTGTAAAAAGCGCATAGATGACAATTATCTGGTAAATTGCCGGCTGTCTTGCTTACGTTTGCCTACTTGACGAAAGGTTTTGGCACGTTTCACCTGTTTCGTCGAATTTGGATCGTTTATGTTTTTGAAGTGCCCGTAACCGCCTCCACCGAGCCTTTTTCGAGGTCGTGAAGCTTTGTTGATTCCCACTTCTGTAATACGCAATTAAAGAGTTAAGTAAGATAAACGATGTTTGATATTAGCTTGACTAGACTGCATATTGCTGTTTTTAAATTTCTATATACGATTTAAAGTTTAAAATAGTTTGATGGATTAGCGCCAATAAAAAAGATAATAATTAGAATAAGTTGAAGAAATTATTTTGATTAATTCAAAATATAAGTGTTAAATAAAGCAAAAAATGTGAAAAAAATTAATTGTTTCGTTTCTATGAGTTATTAAAAGAGTTTAATAAGTAACTAAGATTTAAAGACATTACAATTAAGAAAGTATTTGCAATTAATGTTAAATCTATTATCAATTTAACTTACTTAAATCTACTGCCGGCGGTACAGTAAATCCGAACGACTTGGCGACTTTCGCCAGATCCAAGGTCTCTACATCAAAAACGTGTTTCAAGTGATGAGAGTCGTACGCTCTAACGTAATTCTTGTACGCCTCTTTCGCCGATTGATGTAAGAAGTAATTTTTCGAAATCAACTTCTCAAGCTAAAAGAAAAGACGATAGTATCTTATATCACAAAATGTAGAGATTCAGAGATGTTCATTAAATCGGTAGAATTGTTAGTTTTTCGATTTCGCTGTTCTCTATTAAAAAACGATGACGTATAAACATGTCTCACATACCTGCAATTGTATATCAGCGATTTTATTCCAAGAGAATTCATATTCGTTCACTGGTACGCGAGCTACCTTGAGATAACGAAGAAAGCCAAGTTCCTCTGGTCGCAGTATTAACAAAGCATGACCGCTGCTACCTTCTCCGCGAGCTGTTCGACCCACGCGATGGATGTATTCCTAAAAGTTATACAAGCCGATATTTCGAATCCACGCACATAAATCGCAAAACCACGTTGTTGGAGATTAGTCTTATTGTTAGTGATAATCCGCAAGGCAAAATATCTCATGTCCTTACCTTGGGATCATCTGGTGGGTCAAACTGCACAATCCAATCAACGTCCGGTATATCTAGTCCTCTCGCGGCCACGTCAGTGCAAAGTAAAATCCCGGAGGAGGCGTTGCAAAATTGATAAAAAGTCGTGGTTCTTTTTGTCTGTTTCTGTTTGCCCTGTCAATGAGAGCGCGAACATTAATATCGAAGAGAATCTCATTACATTATTACAATTATTAAAAACAGTATAGAAAACTATCTGATGATAACTTACGTGGATACTCATTACTGGTAAATCGATGTAGTTCAAGAGTTCGTGATGATATTTAACGGACATGCAGGAACTGAAGAAAACCATTATCTTCTTCTGCTTGTTCTTCTTTAAGAAGGTAAATAAAAGTAGAAATCTTTTCTCGCTCGGGCACGTTACGTAGCCTTGTTGCAAGCCCTCTACAGTTGCCATTTCCTTGTCGTCGTCGACCCCCACGTATATAGGTTCTTTTTTTAGGGCTAACGTCGTTATCGTCGCTACCTTCTGTGTCTGCGTCGCGCTGAAAAGCATCGTCTGCCGGCGCTCTGCAATAATAATTCACACAATAATGGAAAGAAACGCGTAATTTGATTTCAATACTCTTGTTGTAGGATCACTAACTGGGAAGAATGTTAATGATTTGCTTCAACTCTTCCTCGTAGCCGATGTCCAGAATACGATCAGCTTCGTCAATAATCAGACACTGGAGATTCTTGTATAAGAAATCAGGCGTGTTTTGCAAATGATCTAGTAGTCGGCCCGGTGTTGCCACGATAATATTGATTCCCTTTCCAAGCTTTTGTGCTTCGGTCTGCCTGTTGGCGCCGCCCATCAGCAGACCGTATGTATGATAATGATATTTCATCAATTCTTTCAAGACTCCAAAAGTTTGCATAGCTAGTTCTCTCGTGGGAGACATAATAATACATCCGGTACCTGCAAATATCTATTTATTAAATCCCATTCTTGTTGATTTTGTATAGTCAAACCATCAGACTGATCAAAACAGTTTTACTTTGATTTTTAAGGATTATTTTCCAGTACTACTCGGTTGACTAATTATCGTGATTACGTACCATTGCGCGGCATAAACTTCAATTTGTAAATCAGTTCAACTGCAGGAATGAGAAATGCCAGAGTCTTGCCAGATCCAGTTTTGGCAGCGCCAACTAAATCTCTTCCTTCTAAAAGAGGAGGAATAGCTTTTGCTTGTATCTCGGTCATATTTGTAAAACCCATATCCTTTATCGCCTTCAGGGTGTTCTCACATACTTTTTCATTTAATACTGAGAAGCTTGTATCATTTGTCAATTCAAAACCTACAGCTGTGCCAGGTACTAAACAAAATGTTATATATTATTAAACAAACATACAAATATCATTCAATAAATAATTAAAATTATATCAGAGATACATACAATTCTCAGTGGCAGAGGATTTCTCTATTACTTCTGACTTTTCATTTCCTTCGGATGCTTTCAACTTCCTTTTTTCTAAACAGAATACATTGTTATTAACAATTATATAATAAAATAGAAAATAAGATAATAAATGGCAAATATTATCACCTTCTTACAAGTAAAACAAGTCATATAAAACATAAATATTTATGTGATAAAACATATATCTAAGCTATAAAAATAGATTAAAAGAAGTTGTTACTTTTTGGAGGAATGTCTTCTGAAGGAATGTGTCCCTGATTTATTTCAGTTGTTTTCTCCGATTCAGTTACATCTGTGTAACAACCAAGCCTTGTTTAAAGTAAATAATAGAAGAATAAAACTAACAGTGAAAAACCATTAGTTTCAACAAGTATTCGAGAAGTATTCATTAGCCGAATAATAATTAAGATATTATATGCTTTTTAAATATAACTACTAGCAAATTTACATATATTTTTTTCACGAAATCTAACCTCGAAGTTAGTTCGCACACTCTTACCTTTCTGTTCTTCCCGGCGTTTCAGTACGGTTAGTTTTGTCTTTTCCCGTTTTTTAATTTTTCGCATCAACACTTTTTCGGGCACGGACATTTTCTCGTGTTGTGGAGTAGTATCGTAATTGTATTAAAAATTATATAGACACAGTTAACATCCTCGTGGCAAACGCACATGCACATACGCATAACGCACGTGGTATGTAATCTGCCGATACGCCCTCCAGCTGGCTAGTTCGGACACGAACCATTAGCACGGACGCAAACCATGTGCGGTTACCGAGCGATACGACGTAGTTGAGTTGCACTTTCTCAGGCGGCGCGTCGGAAAATGCAACACAGCAACACCAGAGAGAAACCTGAGAGAGGCCATCCCGGTCTTTTTCGTGTGTTGCTGTGTTGCATTTTCCGACGCGCCGCCTGAGAAAGTGCAAC